GTAGTAGTAGTAGTAGTAGTAGTAGTAGTAGTAGTAGTAGTTAGTAGTTAGTAGTAGTACGTAGTAGTAGTAGTAGTAGTAGTAGTAGTAGTAGTAGTAGTAGTAGTAGTAGTAGTAGTAGTAGAGAGAGAGAGAGAGAGAGAGAGAGAGAGAGAGAGAGAGAGAGGTGATGTGATGTGATGAGTTGATTACCATTGAGACTAAGAAGTGCAATTGAGGCCAAGGGCCAGGGGGCGTGATTGGAGGAGTTGATTATGACCAAAAGTGGAACGGTGGGACTCACATGCACACATACATGCATGTGTATGTATATATGTGTGTACACTAGTTGAAGGGCTCGCCCCGCGCCCTTATCATATTTGGAGAAGCCGTGCGCCATAACGCCACTATAAAATGCAGTTTTGGCACTAGAAATACTTGTGATGGTCTGCAAATCAATATTCACCCCTCAATATGAAATATGAAGCTCCAAAAATTGTACAAATCTAGCAAATCGGTCAACACTTGAAATGGTTAATTAAAAAAATGTGCAATAATATTGACCATTTTTGTAGATTAAAATCCACCTTATTTTTATCTATGATTTTCGAGCTTGAGATGACTAACTTGCTAGTTTTTGAATGCTGGAACTGCAATGTTTGGTGAGATTTTAAGTGCACTTTTATAAAACTGCAACTCTAAATAACATGTTCCCCAATAGGTATGGTTATACATATATGCATGCATACATTCCTACATGCATGGCTGCAAGTATTTACATGTTCATGTCATCAACATTCATATGTATACATATACACAAGTGCAAATATATTATCGAGACACACAATACACAATGAGCAGAGATTTACCCCCCTAAGCCAGTCCTGAGTGATAAAGTCTCAAGTTTTTCCAAAGAAAACCCTCATAGAAACACTCATTGCACTTGCACTCTCTGCTACTGTCACCTTAGCATCATGTTGAGTTTGATTGAGAGGCTTAAAGTAGCTTTTGAAAAGAAACTTCCTTATTAATCAAACCCATATCTCCAAAGAAAAGAAAAGTTTCTCCACAGAGATGGATATTTTTCTAAGAATAGGCCATTTCATGAGGTGACTCACACTATCATCTCAAGAGATTTTGGACAGGGGTATCACCAAGAAAAGCCCTATATTAAGAGAATTAAATGTGAAACTTCATGAAAACCATGTCCATGCATATAATTTTATTAAAATCTATTTTGACTTATAGAAAACCTAAAAAATATCAAAATATCTAAGGGGCACCTTCCTTGTACTACAAAGCAATGCACGTTTCTAAATTTTGCTTGGAGATGTCGTTCTGGTGTTGGAACCTTATGATGGCTCGAAAATCAATTTTCATACTCAGTTATAAAATTTAAGATCCCAAAAATGTTATAGCTAGAGCAGATCTACAAACAATTGACAATCTTGCGAATAGACGGTCTAGATACCTTGTTACAAGATCCACCATTTTTAAGACTTGAAATTCGTCTTTTCATCATATTCATACATCTTGAGGTTGAGATGATTAATTGGAAGGTTTCCAATATCAGAACACTCTCTTCTAGAGGATTTTTGAGGTGCATCTTACCTATGTATTTTGTAAGTGTGATGTTGCCACCTTAGATAAAATTTTCCAATATCTCATTAAAAAATTGCCCCTTAGATTGAGTAGGCCAATTTAACATAGAAACTAGGAAGTATGAAATGTTTACAATGCATTCTCAGGCACACCTATTCATATGTGGTCCCTTTCCTTAGATCTATCTTAGATATGGGTTTAGGATATGAAACATATCTAACTCACTCTAGATATATTTTCATTTTAGATCCATGTTAGTGCAGCAGAAAAAATTGTGCAGATTTGATGATCTGCAAAGCAAATCAATGGTCAAAAAATGAAGTTTAAAATAGTCTATTTTTAAGGAACAAAATTGATTTTTTTTTATATATAATTGGGATTATTAATATACAAAATTTAAGGTCCAAAGTTCAATTCGAAGATGAATTTTGGAAGGGGAATGCATTTCAATGGGTGTGTCCACTGACACACTTAAACCCCACCCATTATAGAAAGAACTTCTTATAACTTGATTACTCAACCTAACTAAAATTTAGTTTATCAAGTGAAAAGAGAAAAAGTTGAATCTAAAGGAGGGAGATTAGAAACCTTTTCTTAGTGTCTTAGAACCTTACATCTTTCAGCCCCAAATTCCTCCTAAAAGTCAAAATTTTCTTAAATGTGCCAAAAATTAGGCCCCTGAAAGCTAAGCCAACAAAATAGATTTTTGGGTTTGGAACTAAATATGTGTGTAAGCCAACAAAATAGATTTTTGGGTTTGGAACTAAATATGTGCATGTAGGTGTATGGACTTCTATTTCTAACATTAATTCGTAACTCTTTTTTTTGAAATTAGTTACTATGAATTTCGTTCACCCATGACCAGTTACAAGGAGGTTCAAGAAGAAAATGATGCAACCACCAACGAATGTTGGTGCATACCACCCTTTGCTTAAGAATCAGCTTCCATATTAACCTCTCTAAAACAATGAGATAGCTCAAAACAATCACTACTTAAAATAAAAAAGATTTTGTAAAAAATGCTAACTAATCTTTAAGGTGACTTCATTTCTCCTTTTGCAAGATATGTTTAATCATCTTTTGGCCCTCGAGATTCTTTATTATATTTAAACCTTCCAAAAGAGCTATTGCCTCACTTTCGTTCATTGTTGTATGTCCACATGGTCCCGAATAGGTGAATTTATAATTACCCATATGATTCGAATAGTACCGGCATAACTTATTGGGCTTGGGTTTCTAATCGAGCTTCCATCAAAGTTGAGTTTTAAGCAATTTTCATGAAGAGACATCCAAATAGCATTTCGAACCGATCTGCCATTATTAAACTTAGCAATTTCAAATGGTTTCTAAAAAATATGTGACTTTGGGATAAACTTATAATCTGTGTTTGTTGTAAACCATTCAGCTGATGTAACTCTTCCTTCTAGAAGCTACGAAGCAAGTTAACTCGTCCTTCACGAAGCTGGGAAGCAGGGCTTGGGGTTGTAAGATTGCATTTATGTACTGAGGCTACTACAAAGGAAGTATGGGCTTACCAAAGCTACCGCAATTCTACAGTGTTAAGGAGCTCAACTATCTTTTTCTAGAGCTACAAAAAGATGTTAAGGAGCTCAACTATCTTTTTCTAGAGCTACAAAAAGAGGTGATCGGTATCGAAGATCATGAAGGTTCATAAGTGCGATGAACAATCAACGAACTCCTATTTTTTTCATTCAAAGAACCTTCAAAGCCAGCTTGTGTAGGTGATCAGGCGGGTTGGTATGAGTTCAATCGTTAAGCATAACGAGGCTAAGTGCGAGTTGGATTCAGTCTCGCTGAATCGCAATGAGTTCAGTCGTTAAGCTAACATTTAATTGGGTTTGGAATTGAGAAAGTGATTCAAGGGATGGCTACAGCAAACTACCTTTTCCCAATAGTGATAGTTCTTATCCTACACCTCGAGAGTAGTTTCCAACTGATAAACTCTTCCACCCTTCCTTCTTGCGCTTGCGCTTGCTCTAGCGAGTGATAGTTCTACAAGGTAATGGCTCAGGTGTTATTGGCTGGTTGTACAACTACTAAAGCTATGCTATTTTGCTATTTTGCAGCTTGAAAATTGCTCCTAAAGTGAGCTAATATAAACTATCAACAAATTAAAACCAGGTCCGTTATTGGACTATATTGATTCGCTAAGCACATCATTATTGTATAATGTGTGTAGCCCAATCTTTGTTTTTCAAATTCCTAATTAACCTCCTGACCCTTTCTATATTGTCATTTTTTATTTTTTGTTTTGAAACGACATGCTTGTGGACCCTCTTCAGCTAAGACACGTGGCAACGTTAATGGGCTCAATTTCAAAAGGGAACAACATGAGGAACTTGTTTGTTATTTTCAAACAAAGTTGAGAATTATTTTCCCAAAAAAAAAAACAAAGTTGAATCGGTTCTTGCTTCGTACTGTTCTTTCCACAATCCTCCCTACAATTCCCTGTTGCTAGTGCTTCCCTACACTTAATCCTCGGGTGAAAGAGTCACTAGGGAACATTGCTTTACAATCACTAAAAGAGTATTATTGAAAAGAAAATTCCGATTTTGAGTTTATAAGCACTTAAGATTTGACCATCCAAGAATTTAATGATCTATATTCATTTGTTTGAGGCATATATCATTGCATGTAGCTTTTATTTTCCCTTTCTTTTTTTAGTTATATTAGGTTGAGCAGTTCAAATCCCTAAGCTTTGGGATCCTAAAAATGCTCCTAGATAGAAATTTACCTCAAGGGGTGAATGGATGAGATGCACTCAGGGGTGGCAATTGAATTGGGTCGACCTACCAACCCGAATTAGGTGCAGTTCTAAGTCCGGTCCATGTCTAGGTGTTGGACTGGGTGGGTCGGATCCGGATTCAAATGACTTTAACCTAACCTGGGACAGGGTTTGGGGTCTTGGTCTGGCTTGGACCCTATTACGTTAGGTTGTGTCCAAGTCAAGGTTAACCCGACCTGCTATATATAAGTAAAAAATGTGTAACTATATAAATTAAATAATATTAACTGTATTTCATGTGGTAGGCAAATCCTATTTTTTTAACTAGCTTCTTTACTCGCACTTGTCCATTAAATACATAGAATAATTTTATTTATTTCTAGACCCAGATCTAATTCACCTGTCGGATTAAGCCCAGGTGACTTGGACCTGATCTGGTCCAGGTCCAAATTAGACTTAGTCAAGTTGGGGTCAACCCAAACCCGCCTCGACCCTTTCCCACCCTTATATGCACTACGGGAGCATAAAATATTACTTAAATATTAGAAATGTAACATAAAA